AAAAAAAAAGATAGAAGATATTCAGCATCTGAAAAAACCTCATCATAGCATTAAATTAGTTTCTCATATTAGTGAATTATTATTAGACATAAACAAAGAAGAGTAAATGGCGGTTATTGGATATAGAGAATGTCCTGCTTGTGGAGAAGAGGCAGAGATAGATGATGGACTAATTCGAGAAAAGGAAACTTATCTAGAAAAAAAGCAAAGGATTGCCACCAAAAAGATGATTAGAAAAGTAATTCCGGCAGAAATAAATTACCAAATTATTTTTCCTCAAAAGTCCTCGGGTTATAACACTGATTTAATTTGTCAGCACTGCCCTTACTTTAAAAGAGTTTGGGGATGAACTGATAAATTAGTTCACAAAGATAAGGGACAAATAAAAGAGAAATACGTTATCAGTATTCCTCGCAAAACTTTCTTTTTACCAAGAGATGATTTTGTTGATACAGCACTGGCTCATGAACCTATACACCCTTTAATTTGGGAAGATGGACACGGCCGAGAGTGATATTTTAAATATCGAGATAATCGAAAAGTAGTTTTTCGCAAGTTCTCACGATTTATTAATGCTAAAAATACTCTCCCGATTAAATTTAGAAAAAAGCACAAAATTTATCTTTCTGACTATGCGGATGAGTATGAAGAGGAACGAAGAAAATAAAAACCCCACCCCCTTAAAATATACATATATATAATTTTGATGAACTACTAGGATTTTTCTTTTTCTAAATTAATTCTTCGGAGAGGTCAAATTGATGGGGTAACGCCCTCTGTGTTTCGATTCTGGGCGGTTATCAACTGACCCTTCGCTCAAGAGTTAATTCTGGGGAATTTATTCCTCAAGGGGCGTAATCATCTTGCAGCCTTTATCGCGGTAGATTAGGTTCTAAATGCAAATATGATTAACCCCCTTCAAGAGTAAATTTCCTGAAAACGATCATTAATGCTTGATTAGGGCAGTTACACATTTATATTTGAAAACCCGTCTAGGTTCAACTAGGTGCCAGTAACCGCCCCTAATGAAACTTTAAATGAAATAACTTTTTAGCGAAGGTGGCTTTCTTAATGGGGAGTTCGATTCATAAACTGGGATACCCAAGAATACTAACCACCTTCGCTAAGAAATTAATCACTTTGGAAATTTTAAGGAGGTTTTTCGCAAAAAAATGCCACAAATATCCCCTCTTTGTTTTTTTTAGCAACAATCAAACAGCAAGTTTTCGATAAGAATTTGTTAATGAATTTTTATTTTTTTGGCATCAATTTGTACTTGTAATCATACCTTTAAAAATTGAAAATAACAAGAAACTATTAGTAAAACAGGCAAAATAATTCCCTTTACCCCTCCTTTTTTTATTGTTTCTCGTATTTAAAAAACAACCTTTTAATATTTGTTTAGCAACGTAGTCAAGGAATTACTCATAATAACACGTGCTTTACAACACCCAACCCCAATCAGGCTGAGTAATTCCTTACAAAACCTGACCTGAGTTGGAGTTGTGTCACCCAATTGTGACATGCAAAGTTGTGTTACCTCCTTGCAAGGTGCTGTAAAACACGATTATTACTTTGTTAATTTAAACTACTAAACTAATACAATTGTTCTAACTCTTATTTTTTTCATCATTCACTTATTATATTATTTTACAATTTAATCATTTCGTTGTCATCATGAGTGATTAGTTCACTCTATTACCCTAGAAGACCCAGCCCAGCCACTCATAAGGAACATTTCCAAAATCCTAACTAAACTGGGTCTTAGGTAATCTAGGTAATACAGTGAATAATCACTTGATTAATCGTCGTCTTTTATCACTTATCAATCTACTCTGAAAGGGTAAGGTTAGGGGAGGCTTTCAGGCAGATGCCAAGTTTTTTAGAACTTTACACACCTACCAAAACCTTTCACAGTAAATTATATTTTACCAATTACTTTTTCATCATTTGCATTATTAATATTATTTATACACAAAAGACATGGAAAATAAACCTAATTTGGAGAAAAAAAGACAAGAATACCGGGAATGATTAGCCAAAAATCCCCCTATTTTTGATGAAAGTACGGGCCATGAAATGAAAGAGTGTGAAAGTTGCTATTGTCAAATGATGGCTGATTGTCCTTATGACTTTTGTTCTGACTGTTCAGACTGCGATAAAATGCAGTGTGGTGAAAACTTCGATCCTAACGCTGGTAATTGTTGTGCTTGTTTTGGTAAAAAAAGTGGTGATCCTAATCTAAAAAGAAAACCATTAACTTTTACTCAAAAACAAAGATTACACTTTGAGCAGATTAAAAGGCAAATGGAGGACTTAATTGAGGAAATTAAAGATAAAGAGGATATCGATGGTATGCGAACGGCTAAAGAAATTGAAGATATGAAAAGGTGAAGTGATCAGAAAAGGGAAAGGGTGCTTAAAAATTTGACTGAGGAGGAACTTTTGATGGAGGTGAAGAGGAGAGATAAAGTTAAAATATAACTTATATGACCAAAAGTAACAAAGTTACAATTAAATACAACGGCAAAGATTATGAAATAGAAAAGAAAACTGATGAACAAA